GTCGCTGAAACTTTGTGAATGATTCCAACAACATTTCCCAACTTGCAGCAGCAGCAGCCACCATGTCCTCGCTGCGCTGCCAGGGGTTGTGTGCGGCTGTTCTCGTCACCGTCACCACCACGCTCCTCTTCTTTGCGCCGTGCTGCCTGGCGGAGGTGGTGCTGGAGCAAGACGAGCACGGTGCGCTGCACATCAACACCAGCAACCCCTCAGTGCAGCCTGTGCTTGTGAACGGGGTGAACGTGGGCACGATGGACGCGTTGGTTGCCGCACATGGCAGCACGTTGGAGACGCTGCAGCGTGTGAATGAGGAACTGCGAGCACAGGATGCTCGGAGCATCGAAGCACTGTGTCGCCGGTTTCCACCAGCCACAACCGTCATCCCCGGTATTGGAACTGGAGATTATGACTGGCTCGGCGGCGTCGTTTCTGACGCAGGCATCGTGGTTGGCATCCCTCACAACTCCGGCTCCGTGCTGACCATTGATCCAGCGACCAACACCGTTGACACCACTTCCATGAACAACCTGGGCGTGGGTGCCAAGTGGGGAGGTGGCGCCTTGGCAGACACCGGCTTGATCTACGGCTTCCCGCACGACGCCGACGCGGTGCTCGTGATCAACCCCACAACGAAAACAGCCGACAGCACTTCACTTGGTGGGCTGCAAACAGGCGGTAGCAAGTGGATCAGCGGCGTTGCTGCCAATAACGGCCTCATCTATGGCGTTCCATGGTCTGCGTCATCTGTCCTCATCATTGACCCAGCGACCAACACCACCAGCCACATACCCGTCGATGGGCTCCCCGCGTTGCAGTTCAGGTGGTACGGCGGCGCCCAGGTGGACAGCGGCCTGATTTACTGCACGCCACACAATGCCAAGTCCGTCCTGATCATCGATCCAGCCACAAACACAACAGACGCCACAACCTTTGGTGGCCTGGCAGGACCCGCAAAGTGGCTCGGGACTGTGCTTGCAGACAACGGCCTCGTCTTCGGCATCCCATTCACCAGCCCCTCTGTGCTCGTTGTCGACCCCCGCAGCAACACCACAGACACGACCTCCATTGCTACCCTCTCCAGCAACAACGGCAAATGGGTCGGTGGCATCCTTGCCCCCAACGGCCGGGTCATTGGCATCCCGAGGGATGCAGCCTCTGTGCTCATCATCGACCCCTCAACACTCACAGCGGACACGACGACGCTGCCAGTATCTGCAGCATCCGACAAGTGGTGGGATGGGGTGATTGCACCCAACGGCCTCGTTTACGGCGTACCTCGTACTGCAATGGAAGGCCTCGTGATTGACCCCGGCTGCTGATGATGACAACACTACTGACGACGACGTGCAAGTGTGCCGTGGATGTGTGGGGGGAGGGGAAGAAACTGTGTGGCTGTGTATGGTGGTGGTAATGGTACAGTGCTTGCAAAGGAGAGGGCAACAGCGTTATCTTCTGAAAGCATGTGCTTTGTGTTACGTGACCTACTCAAATACACAATACGAACCACAACGTGAACATGTGTGTGTGTGACTACATATCAAGAAGCATGAGAGATCCACAGACCACTGTCACTGTCATCAGACGGAAAAAAAAATTCAAGAGTTTTACAGTAGCGATTGGCGGTTTCGATCCGCCGACCTTGGGATTATGAGACCCACGCTCTTCCGCTGAGCTAAATCGCTGTCGTATTGCTTGACGTGCAGAGCTCAGCTACGACACTTGAAGGCACTGTAACTCGAACTCTGCTGTGACGTCACAAGCAACAGGGCAGCTCACTCGCTCACAGCAGGCACCGTAACACGCAGACCCCTAGACCCCCAAGTGTTCTGTTTCTGTTTGATGTCTGACGACACGACACAAGCTTCACACACAAGCTACAGACACACGCGCACGCATACAGGCACACATGCATGAGCATGACACTCTCTCCCTAGCACCCTTCCTCCTCCTTGCTCCATCGCATGCTCTCCATCCATCCACTGCAGCGCAGCGCCCCCAATACCATCCATCCATCCTGTCACCTCTGCCTCGTCACGCTGCGTGTTCCAGCGAAAACCAATGGAAGATTTCCAAAAGGCTTCCGTCCTTTACACCCACATGCAAACAAGAAACAACCAACAGAATCAGAGAACACACCAACCACAACAACTTCTACCCTCCATCCACCCGCGGCAGAGCACAGCACAGCACAGCACAGCCGGAGCACCGACAGGTACAGGCGCAGCAGCAGCAGCCATGGCTGTTCTCGTCACCGTTACCACCATGCTCCTCTTCTTTGCACCCTGCTGCGTGGCGGAGGTGGTGATCGAGCACGACGAGCACGGTGCGCTGCACATCAACACCAGCAACCCGGCAGAGCAGCCCGTGTTTGTGAACGGGGTGGACGTGGGGAAGATGTTTGACGTCGTGCAGCAGCAGGCGATCATGCTTGAGGAGCAACAGCGTGTGAATGAGGAACTGCGAGCACAGGACCAACGGCACCAGGAAGCGCTTTGTCGGCGCCTCTCACCAGCCACAAGTGTCATCTCTGGTGTTGGGGCAGGGGTCGGTGATTGGATCGGTGGCGTGCTGGCAAGCAACGGCCGCATCTACTGCATGCCATTCGCGTCAGACTCTGTGCTGATCATTGACCCAGCGGCAAACACCACCGACACAACGACCATCAGCGGCTTCGACGGAAGCGGCGGAAGCGGCGATTGGGCTGGCGGCGTGCTCGCAGACAACGGGTTGATCTTCGGGTTCCCCTTTGACGCTGAGGCCGTGCTCGTCATTGACCCATCGACAAACGCCGTGGATGCGACCAGCCTTGGCGGGCTGCCATCAACCGGGAACAAGTGGATCAGCGGCGTCGCCGCCGACAACGGCCTCATCTACGCCGTTCCGTGGTCCGCGGCATCTGTCCTCATCATCGACCCAGCGACCAACGCCACGGACACCACGGCCATGCCTCTGTCTGGATCAGGCCTGTTCAAGTGGCGCGGTGGGGTGCAAGCAAGCAACGGCCTCGTCTACGGCATTCCAAGCTGGGCCGACTCGGTGCTCATCATCGACCCCTTAAACAACACCACCGACACCACGAAAATGCGAGGCTTGCCAGGGTTATTAAACAAGTGGCACGGCGCCGTCCTTGCAGATAACGGTCTCATCTATGGCGTCCCGTACACCGCTTCGTCCGTCCTCATCATCGACCCAGCCACCAACACAATAGACACCACCACCATTAGTGGTCTCTCGGACACCAGTTATAAGTGGCGGGGCGGAGTGCTGGCCCACAATGGGCGCATCTACGCCATACCGCGCAACGCACCGGTTGTGTTGGTCATCGACACGGCCACCAACACGATCGACATCACATCTCTCCCCGTGTCAGAGTCTCTGGACAAGTGGCAAGACGGTGTCCTCGCCAACAACGGCCTCATCTACGGCATCCCCTACGTAGCATCCGACCTGCTTGTCATCGACCCCGGCTGCTAGTGGTGGTGGTGGTGGCGGTGGTGCTGCTGCTGCTGCGGTTGGCTGTGGGGCCGTGGAAGTGTCTCTTTGCCTTTTGGGAGAAGCCTCGACATTAATGCACGCATGCACACCAGGCTGGTTTTGCTGTTGCCTCTGCATGAAGTTACAGGCAGATAGTGTGCTTGTTGTTGTTGTTGTTGTTGTTGTTGTTGTTGTTGTTGTTGTTGTTGTTGTTGTTGTTGTTGTTGTTGTTGTTGTCTAAGTTGTTGTTGTTGTTGTTGTTGTTGTTGTTGTTGTTGTTGTTGTTGTTGTTGTTGCTGTTGCTGCTGCTGCTGTTGTTGTTGTTGTTGCTGCTGCTGCTGTTGCTGCTGCTGTCCTTGACCTTGGTCTTTCTACCTTTCCTGCCAGTGGGTTGCTGACTCTGGTTGGTGCTTGTTAGCTTGTCTCTTTCTGGTTACATTGTCTGTGCTCGGCCTGCTGCTTGGCTACCGGGTGAGTATGTCTGTTTGTTTGCCTCTCGTGTGTCGATTCAAGCAGCGCGGTACAAGTTACTGAAGCAACAGTGAAGTGTGTGTGTGTGTGTGTGTGGATGTGTGTGTGTGTGTATGTATGTGTGTATGTGTGCGTGTGCGTGTGCGTGTGTGTGTTGTGACAATATAAAGAAGCATCTGAGAGAAGATGCGCCACTCTTACAATGTCACTGTCATCAGACGGAAAAAAAAAATACAAGAGCTTTACAGTAGCGATTGGCGGTTTCGATCCGCCGACCTTGGGATTATGAGACCCACGCTCTTCCGCTGAGCTAAATCGCTGATTGCTATGCTTGTTGCAAAGGGAGTGTTCACGCCACTTGAAGCTCCACTGCAACTGTATTCTGTAACTCTGGTAACTCTTGTAACTCTGCTCTGACGTCACAGAAACAGTGGCTGCTCTTAGGCTTTTCTGTCGATTGTGTCTGGTTTTCTTTGGCTGCATTCGAGCACACACGAGGCCACACAAGTGCTGAAGAACTAAAGAAGGGAAGGGGAAGAAGGAAGAAAGGCGCTCCCATCATCATTGTGGCGCAGCTAGCAACAAAAAAAAAAAAGGATATGCAGTAGCGATTGGCGGTTTCGATCCGCCGACCTTGGGATTATGAGACCCACGCTCTTCCGCTGAGCTAAATCGCTGATGCTATGCTTATTGCAAGGGGAGTGTTCACGCCACTTGAAGCTCCACTGCAACTGTATTCTGTAACTCTCGTAACTCTGCTCTGACGTCACAGGAGTCGGCCAGACGTTGTGCAGTGCTCCTTCTTGTGTTGTCTTCTTTCTTGGCCAGTGTTTCTCTTCGCGGGACTGGAGTTAAGGAGTCGAGAAAGAGAGAGAGAGCCGGCTTCAAGGCCTCCAGAGTCGCCTCGGCAGCTCAACGGCTCAACGGCGGCAGCAGAAGCTCAAGAGGCCAAAGAGCCAAGCCCTTCTCAGTCTCCCTTTCCCCTCCCACATCAGCACATCTCGCCTGTCCCCATTCCCACATCGTCACGGCGCCTCGTCACGGATTGCGACATT